GATCACCGGCTGATTTAGTTTCATTTTCAGAAGGTACACACTGTTCTCATTTAAAGCTTTAATTATCATTTCAATATGAAATGACGAAGTGCAATGCCATGAATTCTGAAAAGGTAAAAGGAAAGTTACATTTATTTATTTATTTTACAAAAAAAATAAAATAACTGTGAACATTTTTACTACAAACATTTCACGACGTACATTTTTGATTGCTTTTAAAATTTTTCTCATATCCGCTCTGAGTAAACACAGCCTGCAGCTCAGCAGAAAATATTATGTTAGCTGAGTCACAAATGGCTTCTCAGTTTTTAGCAAGAGAGAGAGCACAGATTAGGTTTTTTTTAAATAGAATTTTGTCAAACAGTTTTGCTTTGGCACATTTTTCGCTATGATTTTGATGGAATGCCCCAATTTCAAACTAAGGTTTAGTTAATATCCCCGAAGACGAAACTGGCTGGACATGATGAGTTCAAGGACAATCGGAAAGTTGAAAATGTCATGATTCAGGGCGCTGCTATAGCTCACCTGTTGAGCTGGCAACCCATGCTCAGGGGCTATAGTCCCCAATGCGGAGGTCATGAGTTCGAAGCCCTTTTCCGCAGGTCCATCCCCCATTCTTCTCCCCCACTTTCCTGTCTCTCTCTAACTGCACTTTCAAATAAAGCCAAAAATGCCAAAAATATAACTTTAAAAGAAAGAAAGAAAGAAACTGTCATGATTCTTCTAGTTTTTGTAATTTTTTGGCTCTGGAGTGATTTTGGCAAAACATTTTTTTTTAAAAAGAAAAAAGTTTTATCAAGCCCACTGCTAGATTTTCAATCAATCAATCAAATTTTATTTGTATAGCACTTTTCATGTGCAACAACAACAACGCAAAGTGCTTTACAACATTTAAAAACAACAAAGCATTTAAAAACATTACAACATTTAAAAAAAAAAAATAAAGTAAACCCATCCCTCCCACCCTCCATGCATACACATACAACAAATGCAGTCGCGCACACACAGACGCACACACTCACCACGAGACTAAAAGAGGCGTGGCATGGCACTGAGGGATTGTGGGAAACGCTACCATTGTGGCCGTCCACTGGCTTTCATTGTGCAAATAGTTTGTTTTTATATATAATTCATCAATAGGACCTGCAGGTGGAGCATGCTCAGTGCACCGTTTAGCTCATCTAAGTGAGGCAACTTTACAATCAGTTGGTTTAGGAGCACGTATGATTTCAGTAAGTTCTACAGATCTGCACTTTCACGTTGTGTACTTAGACGACAGACGCTCACAGCCTTTACTTTAAATGCTTTGTCATACAGCTGATTTAGTTGTACTAAACAATTTTATTCCTGCTCCAAAAAGCAAAATCAAAGTGAGCTTGAACACAAGTCATACAGGATTCCTGCTGCAGCCAGCGGTCGGTGGTAATTAATGATACGTTCCTCCTGAAACTCATAGACGACAAATCAAAATATCAAGATTACTTGTGAACAGAAGTTGTTTTTCATCATGAAAAATGGCTTTGTAATTTGCGTAATGTCCCTCACAGTCATATTAATGAGAAAGAGAGAGAGAGAGAGAGAGAGGAGCTGGATGACAGACATTTGTTGAATGAAGGAGGTGACAGATTGTGAGAGCCGAGGACGGATGCAGGAGGGAGGAACCGAGTGGAAGTCAGAGTTTCACCATCCCGGAGAGTTTCACCGGCGCCCTCAACCATGAACTCACACACACACACACACACATATAAACTCATAGGAGAAAGGAAATTAAAACTTTGCAAATCTCTGGGGTCTGATAAAACACAGTGCTCCCGTATGCCACTCACACTCGCTCATCTGCTCTTGTGGCTGCGCGGCCAGACCGACGAGCCAATCGCCTGCCCGGTTTGCGACTCCTCACAAGCACCCCTCTTTTCTTTCACCACTCCCTGCAAACTCTCCTTTGTTCTCTTAATCACTTTCGGTTCGATAAATTGGCAAGTGGGAGGTAAAGTACGAAGGAGCAACAGGAGCCGAAGCCGTAGGGGGAGGAGTGGAAAGATCAAACAGCAACGGAAATTTAAAAAGAACGTCTTTTTGTTTTTACAGCGTCTCTCCGTTCATATCTGTGTATCCTCTATTAATCTGTTTATTCCTTCCTTCCTGGAGGGAAATTCAATTATCGCAGCAGAAAGGCAGTTTCTGTTAATTCCTGCAGAGTTATGGCTCGCTGTTACACGCCGCATAAATGAGCGTGGTGCTTAAAGAGCAGCTCTTACAGTTGATTACAACACCTCGACAAAGTGGGAACCCCTCCGTCCGACTCAAATCCCGCAAATTAGACGAGTTGTTGGAACATATATGTAGCTTCGGGCTTTTTTTTACGAACTCACCTGTGCCAGAAGAGACTGTAAAGTGCAATATTGAATTAGTATGTGTGTGTTTTTTAGCTAAATAATGCAAAGATAGTAAAATCTGAGTGTATTTGAATGCAGCAGCTTTTAAAGGCAGAACGCGCGATTAAAGTCGACACATCAGAGGGCGCTCTTTGCAGAATAATTCATGAATTCCTGGGATTTCTACGAGCGCGCTTCCCTCCTCCGCCTCCGCTACGTTCGGGTCGAGATGCCCCTCCGCGCTTCTAATCCCATGAATGAAAGCAGCTTGTCAGGTTATCATCCCGTAGCGTGTGCTGTGGCCACTTGCCAACAAAACGCCACGTGTCCTCGAATTAGACCTGTCGTTAATTTATGCTGATCTGATTCCGATCTTGAAATTTTAGTCTTTTGCTTTGCTCAGCAGCAAACAGCCAAGTAGTAGCAGGTTTTCAAAAAACATTTTTTTAAGCATGAAAAATTGTAAAACACACACAGAGAGAGAAATTTAATAGATTGCCGTTAAGTCTCCAGAACAGAGAAAAGGAATGTTTTGCTACACAACCTTATTAGAACTGTCAGGAGGAGATGAGGTTACACAGCGTTCCCTCTCTGCTCCTCACTACATCCTCACATCTCTTTATTTTATGTGGAGCTTTGATCATATTTTTTCAGACACTTTTTATACAGCATTATTTGGGTTTTCTTATTTGGCTCCTCTCTTCTAACTTTTGGTTGATTTTGACATCAACATTCATGCAAAATGATGCACATGTGGCGTCGCTCTCACTGCAAATTACGTCTGTGGTGTTTTTTTTTTTCTTCTCCAAGTTCTTCAGCTGTGGCTCTGTTTAGGAGTCGACTGGTTACTGGTGTGGTTTATGGTTTCAGCAGGTTTTAAAGGCGTGTTAGATTTTTAATTTTCTTTTTAAAAACTACCACAATCACACCATTTATCATTAAAGTTTCAGCTTTCTGACAGTCCTTGAACGTGCCGTTCCATTTAGAAATGCAAGCGAATCTAAGCTTAAAATTAAGATAGTTCATCAAAATCACTTTATTCTGCACGTCTCGTTTAAAAAGTGGTCCAAAATAATCCGTTTACACTCACCAGGTTCTATAAAAAAACAAATTCCTCGGCACTGAGTGTACACACTGCCTGCAGTTCATCCAAATGGCAGAACTGAAGGCAGATCGTACGGAGAAAATTAAAAATGTAAATAGAAAAGCATCTGTAATGTGTAGAGTCACCTTTTTTTTTTCCAGTGTTGGTAACACCAGTGGACAACTGGAAGGATGTTGCACATGTTGGTAGTAGGTTTTTATCTTTTTTTGTAATAAAAAAAAAAACCATTGGACATTTGTTCTTTTCTTTTTTTTAAAGATTCATGACATTATTATACATTATACTGCACAAAGGCGTGCTTGAGTTCTGTCCACGTCTTCCTATGCTCGTGTTGTTTCCATAGAGGTGCAGGACTTTATATTGCAGTGAAAATGATCCGAAAATGGCTAAAAAAACACAAGTCAGATTGTGTTTTTCTACATTTTTACACCAAGATCTTTAGTTTAACTGCAAATGTATGTCTGTTGAAAATATCAGCTGCCTGTCTGTCTTGATTCCTAATGGTCGGTATTAGTATAAGCCCCCCAAAAAAACATCATGGGCAGCTGTGACTCAGGTCGCAATCGCAGTCGATCGCCCGCCCTTCCACAGTCGAAGTGTCCTTGGGCAAGACACTGAACCCCAAGTTGCTCCCAATGGCAGGCAGCACCTTGCATGGCAGCTCTGTCGCCATCGGTGTATGAATGTGTGTGAATGGGTGAATGAGGAAGTACCACCAAGGTAGAAAAGCGCCATATAAGTGCAGTCCTTAAGTACAGTTTAATACTGGTCCATTCATTCAGAACAATTGGACTGTAGGTCTCCGGTTGATCCACAACTTCCAGCTAATTGGAATCCATAATTTTCAGTAGTCGCAGCGTGACCTAAAATTGCTCTTGTAAGAAATTCTCCAACAACCATGTCAGATTACATTCAGAAAAGCCCGCATATTAAAATGCACTTTGGATATTGTGTCCTGCCTTTAAAGGGGGGAGCACACGCTCCTTAGTCACCAGCATTCAAAGGGCCTGGTAATTATCCTCTCTGTGATGGTGCTCGGGAGAAAAATTAATAGAACAAGGAACATCTCATCCTTTGTCTTTCTCCCATTTTAATTCCCCCCGCTCATTGCAGAGTCATAAAAAAAAAAAGAAAAAAGTAAGCTGCCAAACGTAACGAGGGGCTGAAATAAAAAGCTGTGCAAGAGAAAAGGGGATTTGTATCTTTCTTTGTCACCCTACGAATGTAAATTTCCGGATTGTGACAGGAAAATGTTTTATGCTCTGCTTCTCTCTCTCTCTCTTCTTTTTATACGTATGGCAAAATACATCATGTAAAAGAAAAATGCTGCTAAATCTTCCTCACAATGAAATGTGATGAAAGCCCGGAGCCGTGTGAGCGAGATGCTTTGCTTTACATCCTTAAGCTTCTGTTTGAGCAACATACCAGTGATGGAGGTGTTATTTGTTTAGTTTTTTTTTTGTTGGCTGTGAAATGTTAAACTTGTAGTAAATCAACATTTTCATCTCTTCTGTCTCTAGGCGGAACCAGAGGGCTTCTCCCATTTCCACCTCTACGTGTGCGCTGCCTTCCTGGTGAGGTGGAGGAAAGAGATTCTCGAAGAGAGGGATTTTCAGGTAACACGAGGAGGGGTGCAGCTTTTTTTGTTCCCCGCTAAGAAGTAGGACACATACAGTACAGATTTCCACATGAGGACAGGTTTTTTTTTTTTTTTGCACCCAGCTGGCCAACCTGATGTTGAGCATTCCTTTATATCTGGCGCAACAAAAACAACATTAAAAAACAGTCCGGCAGACTGCGGAGCTGCTCGTGACCTACATCCCTCTCCATTACCTCCCCGGTCATTAGCTGCGAGGTTCAAAAGTCGTTGTGAGTGCATTAGTAGATGACAGTAGACAGCTGCCAGAAGGTGACTTTGGTTGCCAGCTCACTGGGGGATCTGCCTCCTTAACAGTCGCAACGCACTTTAATACCGTCACATACAAACATCATCTGTGCTCTTTGGCTGCTTGATCCGATTCCCCGTCACCCTTCAACCCCGTCTCTGTTTTTCAGCGGTCGGTTCGCCTTCATCTTTTTAACATTTACCTCGACTTTCTTTTGCGGTTTGTTGTGAAGATAAGATGAGATTTATTGGCCCCCTCATATTCAGATGTACGTGTTACAGCAGCTGGAGGAAGCAGAACGAAAGTTATAACACGGCTAAAAATAATAATGAAGAGAATACACATGGCTTGATGGATGTATATCTGTACGGGTTACTGCAGTCACTGAGAGAGTTAACATGATGTTATGAAGAGCTGTGAGAAAACAGCGTTATATTTTGCTGATCGATCTGAAAGAGAGAACACAGTTTTACATTTTGTTGTTGGGTTACATGGGAGCAAACTTCTGTTCACAACAAGCTATTTTTGCTGCTAATGAAAGAATCTAAGAAAAAAAAGGCTGAAAAGATACAGGAAGCAGAACACACTTCAGATGTACAGCCTTCCTCGGCTCACTTGATGTGATTCACAGGATAACCCGGAAGATAGAGCGTGCACACGAGCTCTTTCGTAGCCGCCCAGACGTCACATTTGCGTCACGAAACGCAAGCAGGTGGAAACTTCGTCACGGTTACGTGCGGCGATGGGTGCCAGGGTGAAGGTGTGAGTTCCTTTTTATAGCTCCTATCTGAGATTCAGACAGACTTTTTTTGTTTTCTTTGAAATGTGTTGGTTAAAACATCTTCAAAGCGCGCAAAGGAAGGTACAGATACGAACAGCAAATAGAAGTCTGGCGGTTTTCTAACGTGCTAAAGTATTTCAGCCAATGGATAAGCAGCAAACAAACAACACAAAATTCACCCGTTGTTTGAGATTTAATCTAATGCCGGGCCACTTTCCTACATGACTTGTGTACAGAATGCAATTTCTTGAGTGACAGATTAGAATAAAGGAGAAAAAAAAAAGCACAGGGACAGAGAAGTAAATGCCGATTGAAGCTAGAGAATTTATCTGAAAAAGAAAAGGGTGCCAGGTTCAGCAAATTTATTTTTTTGACAGATTCTCTGACTGCTTAAAACCTGCAGTGTTAAACTTCTGTGCTTATGACAGATGTTTCGCAGTTAATCGCTTTCTTTTCAAAACTGTAATCTTCCTCTGGATGCCGAGCGTCAGGAACTTTTCTTTGGACACTTCCTCCGCTTTATCCACCACAGGCTCCGTCATATTCTAGCTGCCGAGGCCGTCTCTGTCGCTATTGTCGCTCTCCTCTTCGGCTCTGGCAATCCCATTATTGCTAGTTAACAGAGAGTCGATTGCTCCTGGTGCACCGGCGGCAGTGTCATCGCAGAAACCAGATTTAAAGCGCCAATATAAGACCAAAATATGGACAGATTTTCCTCGCTCTGAAAGGCTTAATTAGCATTGTGGGAACTTGTTTGGTAAGAGCTTGAATGTAGCAGATGTTTGTGCAAGTGCCTGTATTTTTTTTTTTTTTTCTAAGCAGAGAAAAGATATTCGATCCTTTTCACCAACATGTTGTGCCAGGGGTGTTGGGACTCTTCCAAAAGTGCGATGTTTGACTGTAGCGAAAGCCACAAGGTCAGTTTGGTATTTAGATGAACCTTCCTTCAAAAGGACCAAAGATGGGCGCAGGGTTAGAAAAATATCAAGGACGACAGAAAGGACGTCAAAAAGGCCTCGAAAAAGAGTCAAGTTCTGGACCAGAGTAAAATGTGTTGTGGAGTTTATCTTGAACGCTTCGTCTCTTCACCAATTTTCACCCAGCGTAAGCCTCAACTTCTTCCTCCATGCTTTCTTTTGCCGTAAAATAGAAGACGAATGTAAGGCAAGGAAATTATAGACTGAAGAAGTATTGTGTTGGGATTTCGGGGAAGACGTTTCATTCCGTAAAAGATCCAGGTCGTGGTAATCCCAAGAGCTTCAGCAGAAGACAACTGGACTTTCTTTCTGTTTCGTAAAGATGTTTCGCCGTTCATCCGAGAAGCGTCTTCAGTTCTGACTGATGCTTCAGTCAGTTGGGATTCTCCAACAGAGAGAGAGGGAAAATATGTGAAGCGAGTTCCTTCGAAGTTGCGCAATTGAAAGTGAACAGACCATGGGTTGATGCATCGAATTTAGAAGCAAGGTATTCAAAACTTCCAACCACTGCATCAAAGTTGAGGTCACGAAGCGACGCTAGTACCTTCAGCTTCCCGTTAATAAAAGCTGCATCTAAAATCGAGGGTAAAAACAACAACTTCTGGCCCTGAGAAATGAAGCCGGTGCAGGAAAGCGACTCCAAAAGCCCCTATAGATCCCCAACCTGCGACACAAAACAATTGGTTTTGGTCTCTATTGCTATTTTTCCCTTTCATAACAGCCATACAAGGGGGGTGGATTTTATATAACTTACCCTTTGAGATTGTATTTACGGCTCAAAGTTCTGCATAATCAAGGGTATGGCTGCTTTGGTGGGTGCAGATGTTTGCCAATATAGCAAAACTTGTTATTCAAGAACCCTACGTGTGTCGTTAGAGACGGGTTCATCCATCTTTATGTACAATCCGGTAAACAAAATAAGTGATTGTTGCGAACAGAGATGGGAACAGAAGCACATTCTAATCTAAAATGTTGTCATAACTGTTTCCAGACTTTTAATGAGGAGAGCGTATTGCGAGGGACATACTGGGAGGGGGAAGCAAACAGTAATAAGGAAGAGAGGATGGAGCGCAGGAGTTGGCTTCTGTAATGCACCAGCCACTGCCAGTTAAATGACACCATTTTTAATCTTTTGGAGGTTGGCGGTCCAATATTATAGCAGCATGTTTGGGCCTCTGGAGGGTTGCTTTTTTGGATCCGAAAGAGGCCCGGATTTAAGATAGTATAGCGGTGCTGAGTGAGTGAATCTGGAAGAGAAATATTTGGATCCGAGGTAGAAAGTACAGTTTAATTGTTTTATTTTGACCCACGAGCAGAAGAGGTAAGTTGCTGCATCTCTAAAGATTGGAGGTTAATCTGCTCAGTCGATTTTTTTGCAATTATTGTGGAAAAAGCGAGCAAAAGGGAGAATGCAAGGGAGGGATTCGTTTGGCTCATGATATTGTGAGTGTAAAACACAAACTTCTTTAAACAATGTTCACGCTACACCTTTTTCAAGAAGTTCTTTACCTTGCAAGCAGACAAACGTACACGGGCGGACAAACTAACTTTAACACTTTCCTCCAAACTCCAAACCTTCTGACTGATTCGCCATACAGACTAGCAAGTGGTGCGCCAAGGGCAAACAATCAGTCCTCATGAAGATGAGAGGAAAAGATGAGGCGAAGAGGGAGGAGAGGATCAGGGTGGCAATGAGAGTCAGAACAGATTAAACTTTAGAGCAATTGAAGGAGAAAGAAAAGTTTGGTTTTTTGCACCGAGAAGCACATTCACGGCGCGGCTGTTGTTCCAAAGACACAGTTTTATCCACTTTCATAAGAGGTACTTAATATTTAGACTGAGTATCGAGGTTAATAGGTGAGGAGGGTCGTCCCCCCTGCGAAGCTATTTTGAAATAGAACATAATTCGTGAAAGCGTGTCGCGGCAGATCTGAAAATAGCAGCTTCCTCTGTGTGAATAAAGAACAGAAATTGCAATGATTTACACCTCGAATCACAGCAGTCTTCTGTGCTGCTTTTTATTTATTCGAAATCACTTCAGAATTATTTTACTCCTCACTCAGATGAGAAATGACTCGTAGCACATCAGAGGTTCAGAGTTTTGCTGTAGCTTCCCTCAGGCGGTTACATTGAAGGAAAAAAAAAAAGGCAAAAACCAATACACTTACAATTAGTACAAGTAGGGGGGAAATAGCGCAATGTGTTTTGCTGACATTGAAATTCAAACCCTCCCTCCGTCTTTTCCGCGGCTCCTGTAATAAATGTGAAGAAGGTCTTCAAAAGTAACACTGGAGGGTTACGACTCTAAAGGACCTGTGTTTTAGATGGAGGCCAGTTGATTAAAGGTGATTCACCCACTGAGTGAGACACTGGAGGCGTTTCGGAGTTTGAAGATGAGACATTAACTTGCTCATCCATTCTTACTTTCATATTCTTCTTTGCCTCGCTGCCCCTTAAACTTTTCTCTCGCTCAAGCTCGGCCTCAAATCAGATCGGCGCTTTTTGTTGGATACCATTTCAGATTGAACTTAAGTTGTTCGTAGATGTTATAAATGGGTTTTTACAGCATTTTGAACTGTGCGCGCAGAAAAGAACCGGCTAACCTTTGTGTAGTTAATATGTCCAAAAGAAAGGAGAAAAAAAACAATGCGTTTATGGAAATTTTCATCCATTGAACAAGACCAGACAGGCATACTTAGAGCAGACAGAGCCGGTGGGGAAGTCAATAGTGGCAGACTGAAAAATTATAATAATCTTTTCCAGGAGGCGTACCATTGGAAGACATTTGTACTTTAGAAAAAAAATCTAAAACTATTTGATAAGCCACGAAATTTCATACAAATGCCATCATCAGCTCAACATATCCACTTAAATATGCCTAAATAACTTTTAAAACTAATTCCCTAGCCTTAGCTGTAACGTTAGCATGCTGACACGCAACACTAGCTCAGCGTTAGCATGCATTACATGTA